CTATAGAGAAAAATGTGTAAAACAATAAGGAGGTGTGCACTTTAGCTCTGTAAGAGAAAGCACAGAAAGAGCATACAAACTTCAAGCAGATATTGTCCTTGGCAAAATAAAAGAGAATCTGTCATCCTGTCCATTCACAACCTGTTGATACTCACTTTGGCTATGCTCCCCAATTGCTCCATTGTTTCTTTACAGCCCTCACAAAATACCTGCATTTCCAGGAATGAGGAAGCATGTGACCTCCTTTCAGGACACAGCAATTAGGCCTTAGAGGCCAACAGCAAGGCACAAACACTGTAAAGTGAGGAGGAGGAAGAAGTAGTCAACTCTGTGTAAGCTCTGATTCCATCTGACATGGAGCTTACACAGGGTTAGAACTTCCAGCTCCAATAAAGGAATGAAGTACAGGGGAAGGGTTTGTCAATAGGTGGGGAATTTTTTTTAAATGAGAACCTGTCATTTAGATCTGAATAGGGAAAGTGACAGTCTCTTTAAGACCCAGAGCTGAAAAGCAAGACTGTTAACCAACCACTGCACTGCCCACCTGTTTATTCAATTTAAGCACATGCCCTCCAGAGGATTTACCCCCTTCCTGACCAGGCCATTTTTTGCGATACGTCGCTGCGTTACTTTAACTGTCAATTGCACGGTCATGCAACACTGTATCCAAATGTAATTTAAGTCCTTTTTTTTCCCATAAATAGGAGCTTTCTTTTGGTAGTATTTGATCTCCTGTGTGTTTTTTATTTTTTGTGCTATAAAAAACACCGACATTTTGAGGAAAAACAATATTTTTTACGTTTTGCTATTGAACATGTCCAGTAAAATTTTTTTAAAAAAAAATCAAATTTCATCATATATTTAGGCCAAAATGTACTCTGCTACATGTCTTTGCTAAAAAAAAAAAAAAAATCCCAATACATGTAAATTAATTGGTTTATGAATGGCGGTATATATACTGGAATTTGTTTTTGATTTTTTCAATAGTAATGGCAGCGATCAGTGACTTATAGCGGGACTGCGGCAAACATTTTGACACTGGGGGGAATGACTTGGTGTCACGGACATGCCCAGTGACACCAATACAGTGATCAGTGCTAAAAAAAAAGCACTGACACTGTACTAATGGCACTGGGTAGGATCGGGTTAACATGTGGGGCGATCAAATGGTTAACTGTGTGCTGTTTTACACTGTGTGGCTTTGTTTGTGCTTCACTTTAAGCACACTGCTTTGCATGGCTGTGCTGTGCACAGCCATGCAAAGCAGTGTACAGGAGCTGACAGGGGAGATAACGGTTTTGTTTACAAACAGTTCTCCCCACCCCCCAGTCGGAGATGCCTGGCAATCATCGGGCGCCGGCAAGTAATCACCAGCCAGGACCCGGTGATTGATAGCCACGGTCGCGAATGCACTGGCGGTTTCCATCTTGCCCAGTGTTTATCCTAGATGGAGACGTATGGCATGCCTCTTTCCCCTCATGGACATCGCAGCATGGAAGGGTGCAGAACGTGATGATGTCACTACATTGACGCATTTTGTCCGCCAATCATCATCGTGGACTTCGTCATGCGATGTCCATGAGGGGAAAGAGGCACGCCATATGCCTCCATCTTGGATAAACACTGGGCAAGACGGAAACCGCCAGTACTTAGGATAACTCCCAGGAGTTCATTTAACTACATGTGGCAATATACCACTTCCACCGGTGGCAAGTAAATTTTTGAATAGAGCCAAGTCATATCTTGCACTCTATATAATAACGGGACTTTATGTTCTGAACCTCATAAAGGATTTCCAGCACTCTTATTTATAGAGACATTTTTGGGCCTTTCATAGGTGAAAACTGATTTTTTGGTTTGCGATAAGCATTGTTATATGGAAAACGGGACTTTTTATCCAAAAACCTTCTAAAGGAACCGCCTTGCTCTTATATAGAAGAGGAATTTTTGGAGCCTACAGAAGGCTATTTACAGAATTGTCCAGTGCAATATTGCAATTCAAGCTTTACCTACAATTATATACAATTTTTGGCATTTAGGAGGAACCATACCTCTCATCTTTTTGAAAACGGGTCTCAATAATCCATGTCTTAAGTGGAAACAATAATGACCTTTATCAGGGTAACCATCTCCTTTTTTGGAACTGCCCAAAGTAATGTTTGATATTTCTGTATATTAATACCTTTATTATTCATCATAGATTTACCATTATTGGAATCCACTGAATGCATCCTATTTAAGGAATATCAGCCGACTGAAGCTGGCCATATACAATGCAATTTTCTTTACCAACTTATATGATGATGATGAATTGCAAAGAAGGTAATAACATTTATAATGTTATATTCCCTTTCTAGAAGCCACTCTTTACTATTGGATTCAAGCTTGTTGTTTTAGATGCAGATATATGCCTTAAGTGTCTATTCCAAGATTCTTTATTCATTGTACATTTATCCTCCAGGAGTTTTATCACTCATTCCTCATCATTCCATATTGATGAATATATGAAGGAAGTAGACACTTCCAAGATAGAAGAGAAAGAATAAGAAATCCAAATTGTGACGATTCACCCAACTTGGATTCAACCGCTATGGACTTCCTAAATACTTTTACAGAAGATTTTCTGTCCAATACTCATCTAGGCTTTTTTAGCCGTCTATACCGATGCAGCGAAGTGAAAACGCAGAACACTTTTTTTTGTTTTTTGTTTTTATTCACTAATTTTATTTCTATGATTGACAGTGTGTACCCATGATTCCAATGCCAACCTTTTCATGATCTAATTGATCTCAATAAAAATATTTGCAGCCATTACTTATGGTGATAATTTACTCTGCATAGGATTCATAATATACCGTCTTTTTGGCAGGTCTGCTCTTGTCAGCTGCTAATCTCTTATAAGCTTTATTTGGTTTAGAATCCACATCTAACTATTGGTGAGTCGGGGAAATGCTTTTTGATGGGTGGTTACACCCCTAATTAATGGCACTTTTTTTCTTTTTATATAGGTGCATTGTATTGCAGAAGAGACATTGCATGTCTCTTCAATAAGAAGCCTGCCTGCTTGCAGTTTCTTACAGCAGTCCCAACTCCAGTCAATTAAATTACAGAGGTAAGAAGCCTTTGGACCAACACTATAGGCAGAGGCGTGACTACAGGGGTTGCAAGGGTTGCAATTGCAGAAGGGCCCCGCAATGGCTATAAAAGGCCCTGGGATCAGTGGGAAAGGCCCAGGCTAAGAAGGGGGCCCGTCCTGGTTTCTTGCACTGGGGCCCCGAAGGTTCTAGTTATGCCTCTGACCATAGGTAAGTATTTATTTGAAAAAATGGGAGGACACACTATTCTGTAATGAGGGAAAAAGGGGGGGGGGTTTGTGTGCATCTTGTCACACCAACTTGGTTGCAGTCCCCTGCCTTGTAGAACATTTGACAGAAAATGAAAATGTGAGATGAATGTCAAGATGATGAGGGAGGGGCTGTCCTAATAAATGAGGGACACTTGTATGGTATGCTCAAAATCCAACTGCAGCAAAAATGTTTTCATTTGTTTTAAACAAAGGCATGCCCAACAATATAGGCAGAGGCGTGACTACAGGGGTTGCAAGGGTTGCAATTGCAGAAGGGCCCCGCAATGGCTATGAAACCCCCCCGGGATCAATTGGAAAGGCCCAGGCTAAGAAGGTGGCCCGTCCTGGTTTCTTGCACTGGGGCCCCGAAGGTTCTAGTTACGCCTCTGACCATAGGTAAGTATATTATTTGAAAAAAATGGGAGGACACACTATTCTGTAATGAGGGAAAAAAGGATGGGGGGGGGGGGGGGTTGTGTGATCTTGTCACACCAACTTGGTTGCAGTCCCCTGCCTTGTAGAACATTTGACAGAAAATGAAAATGTGAGATGAATGTCAAAATGATGAGGGAGGGGCTGTCCTGATAAATGAAGGACACTTTTGTATGGTATGCTCAAAATCCAACTACAGCATGATCTAAAAAATGTTTTCATTTGTTTTAAACACAGGCATGCCAAAGCCTCTGTCAGGTTTTAGAGCTCTTTCAGATGGGCAGCTGAGCCACATTTTTTACCTCCCACCTGATGCCATTGCCCTGATATTTTGCTTCAGTCGCTTTTTATATTTTTAACTTGCCTGTACCGCCTGTCAATCTCACCCATTGAGTTAATGGGGCCACGTGCCCAACCGCATAATGCACACAATTGTGGCATAGTAGTGTGGCTTTATAGGGTTAAATCAGGTGACAGGGAGGTGTGACAACCGCTCCTCACTGCCTGTCAATCATCCTCTGAAAAGTGATCCAAACATGGATCACTCTTTAGAGGGCACAAGAAGTCTGAAAGTGCCCTTATTACCACCTACATCTCAACTGAGATTTCCCTCATGTCCTGTCAAGGCAGGAACTTAGCGAAAATCCCTTACGGTAAACAGTTTACAACTTCTGGCCATGTTTTTATTGCTGGCTATGACTTCCTGTCATGGTGACAACCTCACTCCCCGCCCACAATCTCCCCATCTATTTCATGTACAGCCATCACAAGGATAGGAAGGGAAAATATTACCAACGGAGTCACAGACAGAAATAAAGACCTGACAGAAATGGTATATCTTCACCAATCTATCTAAAGCTAAATTTGGACTTCAGGTCACAGAAAATCCTGGTCTGCCTCAATGCTGCAGAGATCTGTAGAGTCACACAGAAGAAAAGGTGAGGCGGCCACAGGGCCCTGGAGCTCATTAGCTGCCGCTCAGCATCTGCAGCAGAATTGGGTGGGAATTGTAATGATCCTTACCCTGCACAGCACACTCACCTACCGCTTTCTGAACCTGAGCTGGGAACAGCCAGACGGACAAATTTAAAGACCACGCAGCAATACCCTGTTTGGTCTCCAACAAAATGGCCGAGAACGATAGGATATGAGCCTCTAGTGGCGAAAACGATGTACGGTGGCCTGTTTGTTCTGGGCAATCTTTATTAGCAAAGAGACAAAGGCGGAAGTGTCGCCGTCATGGCGGATCTTGGTAGGCAGTTGCAGGAGTACGTGGCTCAGAATAAAGCTGGAAATAGTGGCAGTGCTTCCTCGGTGTCTTCATCCTCCGGGGAGCGCTCAGAAGGGGGATGGAAGGCCTGGCTCTCCCCTCCCAGCACAGGATTGTCCTGGTCATGGACTCCTGTAGATCCAGACCCTCTGCTGCCAGGGATGTCAGGGTCTCAGCGGCTGATTGGAGCTGTGCTGTGCGCAGGAATGGCTGCGTTGTGTTTTGCCCTGGCAGGTCTGTATGTGCCTCTGCTGCTGCTCCGCGCTCGAAAATTCGCCATGCTGTGGTCCATGGGGTCCTTCCTTGGCCTGTGTGCCGCAGCCCTCCTGCGGGGCCCCAGTCGACTGCTCCGAGAGCCTGATCTATGGTTCCTGCTGTATCTGTTGGCACTTGGCGGGACGCTGTATTCCGCACTGGGGATTCGCAGTACATCTCTCACTGTGTTGGGGGCCGCCGCACAGATCATCACTGGAGCTGCCCTGCTGCTGGGGATGCTCCCAGGCGGAGCCGCAGGGAGACGGTATATCAGTGGACTTTGTGGAAGTCTGGTCAGGAAAGGAGTCTCCAAAGCCCTACCAGTGTGAGAAGTGCTCTTCTAACGCCAGGAGACCACTGTGGGACCCATGCCTGACTAAGTGTTCTGGTGTTCATTTTCGGAAAAGAGTCTCCAAAGCCCTACCAGTGTAAGAAGTCCTCTTCTAGCACCAGGAGACCACTATGGGACCCATGCCTCACTAAGTACTCTGCTCTGGTGTTCATTTTTGGAAGAGAGTCTCCAAAACCCTACCAGTTTGTGAAGTCACCCATGAACACCAGGGGACCACCGGGAACCATGCCAGGACTAAGCGCTCTGCTCTTCTGAAAAAGAATCCCCAAAATCATACCAATGTAAAATGCAACCCATAAAATCCAGGGAGACTGCTATGGGACACACACTGGACTAAGGCTCTGTTCATTTTAGGAAATTAGTCTTCAGAGCCCTGCGAGTGTGAGGATTGGTCCATGAACACTAGAAGACGCTATGGGACTCATGCTGGACTAAGGATTCTGGTGGTCATTTTTGAAAATGAGTCTCCAAAGCTCCTGTCGGTGTGAACAGTGACCAAGAGACTGTCATGGGACGCATGCTGGCCTAAGGGCCCTACTGTGTTGTTTGAGGTTCCTGTGAGTTCCAGCGTGAGCCTGAGTTGACTTAAAAGCATTGCTGTGGCTGAGACTCTTCCTGGATTAACCAAGCACAAAACTATTGGCCCTTCTAATGGTCAAATTTTATTCCAGGACAACACTAACTACTATTAAAACTGCCCTCTTCCCCCTCCTGACACCTATGCTTACTAATCTGTGTAATAAAGATATCTATAATTGCCTATTTGCAGCCTACTGCAGTCTGGTCATATGATCCCGCTCCCCTGTGTCAGCCAGAACAACTGCAGGGGAGAGGAGGGAGTACCAACAATGGATCGGCCATAGTAAGCCTATTGATGATGTCGCCGCTCCAGGCATAACCAGCTGTGGTCGAGCACCCTCTCTGCATCCGGCACTGGCTGACACGGAGATCTTGTGACCGGAGCAAACTGAAAATAGGTTATCCCAGAATTCTACTACTCCCTTCTGCAAGAAGTCAGCACAGACTTTTGAGAGAAGAATAAATACAATGCAATCCTAGTGGAAAGTCGTACGGAGTCTCCAGGAAACCTGTGCCTAGCGAGAAGATTTGTCTTTCAGCAAGTCATTACTCCTAAAGATAAAGTTCATGTCATGGAATGGGCAAATTGCAAATTATTGTGGTGTCCAGGTGTGTAAAGCTGACAGAGACCTATCTACATAGACTTACTACTGTTTTTATGTCCCTATTTTTAATACTGACTGGAAGACGGTGAATGTTTATGCAGTCAGTTCGTTTGTGTTTTTTTTATGTAATTTAAATCACTTTGCAAAGATCCTATATTTTACAATTCTTGTATATAAAAAAAGACTAATAAAAACAATTCCTCAGAATAATTTGTATACTGTATTGTTCAAGATAATTATAGTATACACAACTGCAGCACCCACCTTATAGGAGTATCAATCTCCCACCAGGTGGGACCCAGATAGCGTGCTGAAATACCATAAAAATATACATTTGTGTGAAACAATTCATATAAATATGTTTAAATGCAGGCAATTAATGTGTTTTAAGAGGACACCCGATAAAGTTCCCAATAAATAATTTAAATGTGAATAGAAGTTCATGTGATAAGCTGCTCTGTATAAGAAAATAGCAGGTGTAGGAAAAGAAAATGACAAGCAAAATGGGGGGGGGGGGACAAGCCATAGATCATGTACTTTTCTTTCCTGCAACCACAGTCCATGTTGACTGGGGATTACCTCCCGCGGGGCTATTGTGTTCTGCCAGCAGGGAGCCTTCTCTCTCTGCAGAACACAAGGATCACTTCTGGTGGCTATAGCCGCCGCCACTAATCGCATGCACAAAATCTGACAGGCTGGTTAACTTCAGTACAACCAGTCTATCCATAGATGGATTGAATATTGGACAGTCTCTGCTGAACCAGCCGAGATTCGGTTCATTTATGGCCAGATTAACGGAAGAATAGCGATTAGACCATTTGGAAACTTGGGCATGCCCGAGGGCCCGGGGTCAGTAGGGGCCCCATGAGATGCCCCTGGTACCTTTTTCATAGGCTTTTTTGAGTTTGGGCAAGGACACACCCATGATCCCCTATTGCCAGGGGGCCCGATGAGTTGTCAGTCCGCCCCTGGTGTCAGCAAAAAAAAAAGAAAACCCTAAATAGGTCTATTTATCAAGATTCACAGATTTTTCTATCACCCAAGTATCACTGATTTTTCTAACTGAATCTTATGTGAAAATATGAGAATTTTGGGTAAAAAATATGTGGCATTGATGGGCACTGACAGGTGACATTGATGGGCACTGAAAGGTGGCACTGTTGGGGCTACACTGATCATCAGGGCAGTGTACATGTCCCCTCTGAGGAATGCTGCTTACCGGGTTTCCTCTCCTCAAGTGCTGTCAGCATGAGGAGAGGAATGCCAATAACCGGCATTTCCTATTTACATGTGATCAGCTGTGATTGGACACAGCTGATCACATGATAGAGCCTACGTCATCTGCTCTTTACTTCGATCAGTGATCTGCTGTGTCCCAAGGACACAGCACACTACCAATTGCCAGGGGTGCATGTGAAGCTAGATTGGGAGGACGTCATATGACATCCGCCCTCCCGTCATTTCCTCATATGGCAGTCCAGAGGTGGTTAAAGTGTAACTAATGGTCAAACTTTTTTTTTTTTTCCTTTTTATGGCTAGACTGGAGAGGGATTAGAACACCTGCCAGGTTTCTTTTGCTGTCTGAGCCCCCATTAGGGAGATTCACCCTCACAGCTTGTCTTGTTTACCATTATCACAGAAGTGAAAGTAAAAGAAAATGAGAAATAGAGGGGAAATCTTCCAATGGAGACACTCGTTTCTGTGACCCTAGAGACACCCAGGGAATTCCCTTACTTTGGAGGGATTTCCAACCACTTCCTGTTTTGGTTATGGGACAGGAAGTGAAGGAAAATCTCCCCAATGGGACGCTTATAGCAAAAAAATTGAAAGGGGTTATTACCCTTCTTTACTCTATCCAAAATGAAAACACATTTTGCCTTTAGTGCTACTTTTAATTCCCTACTTTTTTTTTTACAAAATGTGTATTGGCTTTACATCAGTGGTTCTCAACCTTCCTAAGGCCGTGACCCTTTAATACAGTTCCTCATGTTGTGGTGACCCCCAATCATAAAATTATTTACCCAGTAATTATAATTCATGAGAGTCGTTTTACCTCCAATACTGCTGCTTTCAACACAGTAGCTGCTTTTAACAGAGTAGCTGCTTTCAACACAGCAGCTGCTTTCTACACAGTAGCTGCTCTTTACACATCGGAAATATGTGTTTTCTGATGGTCTTAGGGGACCCCTGTGAAAGGGTCGTTCGACCCCCAAAGGGGTTGCGACCCACAGGTTGAGAACCACTGCTTTACATAGATTACATTGTCAGGAAGCTCCAGTTTTATTGGTTAGGCGGCACCCTTGCTGACCATGACAAAAAAGAACAGTCCGATATGAAAGGTCTGACTGTAGGCCTCTAGGTACCCCCCACCAACCAATCACTGTCCTGTTGCTGGGGTGAGCTAGAACATGTGAGGTGAATACTGTTTGCTCCCTCATTTCAGTCAGCCATTTGCTGTAGGTCAAAAAAGGAGGTGGGGCTAGGTGGAGGGGAGGAGACAAGGCCTTCTGTGAGGTGAAATCAGTCTGAGGAGACTTCTGTGAGGGGAAGATAAAATGGAGGCTGAAGGTAAACCACTTTCTGAATTGGGGATAAGTGTGAATGGCTGTAAGTGTGAAAAGACAACACAAAATAGATTTCTGGTTCACTGAGGTACTGGAAGTCCCAGCATGGCTTGACTCTGTAGCAGTAGCAACTGTTCCACCTGCAGCCCTCTAACAGGGAATAAAGCACCTAGGGCTGCCGTATTTTTTGAAGAAATATACCAGCCTTAGGCCCCATTCACACCTTTGCCTTGTGCTAATGTGCGTTTATTCATGCTTTTATTGCACCACAGCATAGGACAGCCTATTCACTTGAATGGACTTCCCGTGTGCACGACAAATGCGCCTCAGGAGCTCCCGCATCTTTTCCAGCAGGGAGCTCTGCGCATTTGTTTTGTGACATAATAAGGCCAAGCTTGAGGTTAGGGATACCATAGAGATGACCAAGGACCGGAAATTCAATAATCATTTGTATGGTCTAAGAAACCGGAAGCGACAAGGATTTTGTCGCTTCTTGTTTCGCTCAGACCCCGCTCACATCTAGCAAATTGGGATGGCACCTGAAACACAGTGTGGTTTTGTTGCAATTGTCATGTGGTTTATCGTGGCAATTCCAGCAAACCATATCACGCCAAGCCTGTCACCCAAAAGAAGCTCCTGCTCCTTCTTTTTGTGGACAAGCTTTGCGCAATGCAGTTTGCTGTGATTTCTGCGCAATAAATCATGGGACAGTCATGGCAGAACTGCACCCCGTTTTTAGGTGCCATTAAAAATGAATGCCACACAAACATGCATGGTGTGTTTTGCCAGGATTGTAGTGCAGTTTGGAGTCGCAGTCATAATGCGATTCTGCCCACGATCCCAAATCACAAGATGTAAAAGGGGCCTCAGATTGATTTATACAATCCATTACTGGCCTGTGAAAGCATCTGATCAAACCGATCTCGGTTTGATAAGATGCGTTCAAGGGCAGAGCAGAATAAAGAGTACCTGTTGCTGCCCCAGATATCACAAAGGTTGTTGTCCATCCCTTGTGTTGGCAATAAAAGTTATAAAAAAAAGAAAAACTTAAGGACACAGTGTAAAAAAAGTAAATAATAAAATAATTTTAAAAAAGTGTCCCCCCCCCCCCCCCACCCATGCTTTTGGGCAAAGACAACTACATACATACTGTAGGTCTTGCATTTGTGCCATACGTGAGGTATTGCCACAAACTTGGTAACGAGAGCAATAATTCTAGCTCCAGGATT